GATCTAAAGGCGGCATATACTTAAGCCTTAGTGATTCCCCTGTATCTGGTCTCCTGCTCAGGCTCTTGCACAGGCTGCTCTGTTAGAGAACAACCTCTGAGGGGAAAGAACAGAAAGTCGGTGGCCTTAACCTGTAAATAGTGCAGTGTTTAACTTTTGTCTCCGGCTCATAGACTAACTTGCACACAATCACAGATTTGTTGTTTCTACTCAGAGCAGTTTGTAGTAGGAAAAAATGCCATTTTCTGTAGAAAGCAGGAAACATTAATGCTCACACGTTTTTATACTCAAAGGCTATGTTAATATTAGCCAAGTTACGCAGTTGTTTATCTGTAAAAGACAAACATTACGCAAGGCAAAGATTTGTATGCTACATTAGGCTTTTCCCCATAAGTCAAAATCAATATGACAGTGATATATCTAGCACCGTTCTTTTTAAGTGTCACTGCTCTGTTTTTATGCAGTTGCTTACCGCACTTTACATATTTTTGTCTTTCAGAGATCAACAGAGTGCGTAAAGACATGTACAGCGACACAGTGAATGGCCTTGTGGACAAACACCCACTGGAGCTGCCCGAACCAGTCGGACCCATCGTTCACCTGCAGGAAAAACTGTTTGTGCCTGTCAAAGAGTACCCAGATGTGAGTATCAGGGTTACACGTCTCTCACATTTGCTGTTGCATCACATTGCTAATAATATCAGAGCATTTGCCTGAATGGTTGCTGGATTAATATTTAGACTGGAGCCAGAGGAAAGTGTATTAAAGAAGAAATCTTAATCTCATCGAGAAACTAGATTTTATTTTTCATATAAGTTCATGTTAACAGATAAAGACATTCTTTCACACACTGGTCCTTGTGCAGAAATACCTCTACACACACTGTTGGTCCTCTTGCCTTAGGCCATGTGTCTTTGTGATGTGTCATCATGGGAACGACAGCTGCTGATAGTTCTGCAGTCTGTCAGCACTGAAGACATATCTCATGACTGTTGTAAGCACTTGCTCACTGCTCATGCACTCTGCTCTCAGTTCTGTTATTTTGCCTTTCAGTTTTTTGCTCTTTAAAAAAATATATATTTTAGTTGATAAACATGCAGTCCTTGACTTGTTCTTTTTACTTTATTAGCTGCCCGATTTACACTGTGTGCACCAAGTTGTTAATGTACTACTGATACAACTTTGTCAGACTGCACACTAATTTGGTCCCGGTCTGTGGAAAACGCAGCATGCTGGGGTGTTTATGAGCCAACTCAGCAGCAGATTAGTGCTGCGAGAGAAAGCGGGGGATTGAAAAAAGAAGCATCAAGAAAAGTAAACTGCAATTTCATAAATATTCAGTAAAAGGGAATGAAAATCTTTTCGAGTAACCACTTGGTTTTTACTGTGATGGAGAGATGGATACACACAGTTGGGGCAGGGGGGGAAGCAGCACACGGTGGAGGTACCATGGTGTTTCTAGAGATGAGGAGGATGGTGGCAGCACAGAGCAGAGTGATATGTGTGTCTGCGTGTAAAGCTTTGGGACGTGTGTGTAAGGCGTTTACCACAGTCGGCCACATTTATGTGCTCATGGTAATCTTTGGCGCACACATGAATGATTGTGTCACGTCCTGAGAAGCAGCGTTTCTCTTCATAATCCCAGCAGCTGGCAGCAAGGAAATGAATGGAGGGAGGTGACGAGGATAAGAGACACCGTAGAGCAGGCCAAGGCTCAGTCGGGCATGGATTGCATTTTCCCCCTGACAGAATTGATAAAAGGCACCAGGGACTGGCTAGGATCAGCTTAGCTCCATCTCACCCTGAGACCAGGCCCAGCGTCTGCGCTCAGGCTCTTAAGGGACTTCCAGCCAGTTTAAGTGACCCTTAAGTGTTTGCCTTGTAATTGTGACATGTGTGGTCATAGCTGATGTGCAGTTGCCTTTAAGAGCATGGTGGTCGTCTTAGTGAGATCATCGACTGTGACATGCTGTTTAGAGATGATGCCTGCTTTCAGTTACTGCAGAAGTTTCTGTGTTCTTTGTGTGTGGGTTTTGTGCTGCACAGGAATGCAATTCTTTTTTTTTTAAGCGAAGAAGTTCAATAAAAATGTGTGAAGCAGTGGGTGCCACCTGTGACTGTAGAGATGCTAATGAAATAACACACACACAATCTATTAAAAGTGCAGCATCCGCAGATGACCCTTGGTGTACCCTTCACTCGCTTTGCTGCACTGCTTTGAGCAGAGCAGGGCTGTAACTCTTGTATTCTGTTTATAAGCTGTTTGGAAAGCTACTAAATTAATTAGGCTTCCCCCTGGTGGTCAAGATGACTCACTGATGACCTTATCAGACACAAATTAGCACACCCACTGACATGCACATAAAGAAGTGTGAGCACAGATGAACACTGAAACTCAGTGACACAAAAATAGGACATTTTTCAAATTATTTGTTTTCTGCTTTCATTTGGTGAACACATTCAAGCATGGCCATTCAGTCTGTCAGCAGGGAAAGAGGACAATGGCAGACTTACTGTTAAATTTAGATGTGATGACTGCAGTTGGGAGAAATCAGCAGCAAGTCCAGATTAAATGATTGTTATTTTATTTATTTATTTATTTATTTTAGCTCTCCTGTTTGGAACACGTGCAAAACTTCCTCAGCATGATTGCCAAATCATATTTGTGTAGGTGCCAACAGTAATCTTGTGCCAGATATGTAATTTTTTTTTAAGGCTACCAGTTGAAGTTGAAGAGTAGTCATCCGTTTGATTGTGCTGCTGCTCTCGCTGCTGTTTAGGATTTTTAAGTTAGTGGACAGAGAGGAAATGAAATCTGGCATTGACTATTTGAGCAGCAGACAATAGGAGATAAAGTGTTGCTGCGCGTTAAACTGATTTCCCAATAAAACAGTTAAAATGGTTGTCTTAACACGGAGAGACAGCGGTTCTACAGCTTGTGCTTTTAAAGATGATAAAAAGAAGAAGCCTTTAGTCTTTTAAGAAAAAGGGGGAGGAAGCACGAGAGGATAGAAAAGAAGCAAAGGGAAAAATGTCCCTTTTATCCCCATCTGCCCACTTCTAACGGATAGGAAAGTGTAATGAAAGATTATTAGACTGGGGAATTTCACCATCCTTTTTACATTTCTGTCTGATTTCCCAGAGTCCTCCCACTGAAAATCCATGTATGTGTGGCTTGCTGATACAAGTCTAGGCTCTCCCAAGAAAACGGAGAATGATGTTCCAAGTCTCCTGTTTTGTGTTGTTGGCATCTACTCACCTGCCGTGGAACATTTGTCATCATTCATGCCGTTTCCCCATCTGTGGAACTCTTGGCATCTACTTTTTCTCCTCTCAGTTTTCACTTCCATTTAAAAACTCCCTTTATTCATACTATATCCTTAGGCTGAGGTTACGCGCTCTCTTACGCTTTCTCTGTCAGATCACCTATGTTTACCCTGCTCAGGTTTCACCAGTAGATAATTAGATTGTCCTGGTGCCTGGATGCAGTGCGACATGTCAATTCTACCAAAATAACTTGCCTCGCCAGCACACTCCTACTCTAATTCCCTTAAGTGTGTCCCTCTTCTGGCCTGTGTGCCCCACATCTGTCTGTAAATGTGTTTGTGTATGCGTGCGCCTCCATCACTCAGTCTGCCTGCGCGTCTGTCTCCCCCCACCCCCTCGCCATTCTTCAAAGTCAGCCATTTCCCGATGTCGTCAGCGGTGCAGAACACTTCGAAGCGTCACTGTGGTGACTGCATCTTGACTGACAGCTGAGTCGCAGGCTATCTGATAACTTCAACCTTCAATTAAATGCTATCTGTGGCTCCGCTTCTCTTCCAAGCACACGCTCGCATACACATTGATAGGCAGCTGACTGACAGCTCAGCATGTCATTTCCGTTGACCTTGAGGCGTCTGATAGGATGTGTGACATATCTTTTTAAGATGGTGTCTGTCTCCACTTTATTCCCAGTGTATTTGTATGTGCCAACTCTTAAATGCCCAGGTGGGTTGTGGGCAGGTCACCTGGTGTTGAGAAATGCTTAGGACTGAAAACACACGCGAGAGGTGGGGGGAGACACCTCTGCTGTGCTGACTCTGTGAAATGAGACCCTCAGTTGGATGTAAGCTGTTGAGCAAGTGGTAAACAGGACCGTCTGAACTTGTCACAAGCTCGGGGGCATCCACAAGACGAAAATGATCACTTGTATAGCCAAAATTGTTTATTTTAAAAAAAGGGGAAAAAACCTAGCTAGGGACACCCTAGCTAAGTCTCTGCTGTTGGTCTTTTCTGTTTGTCTAGTGTTCTGGGTGTTGTCATGGCACTTAAGGTTGTTTACCTCAGTAATGAAATCCTTTTAAGCCCCTGTCCCATTTCCGCTCTCTCACCACACCAGCTGCCTCCAAACCAAAGAACCTCACAGGAGCAGATGTTTGAAGTCCATGCGAGTTTCTATTTTTTTCTTATTTTTTAAAGTTTCTAAAAGCAAATTAGTCGATCTGTAAACCGCAAATAACTCGTCTCCTTAATAGAAGCAAATATTTTCTCTCCTTATATTTGGAGAAAGCACCGGGGGGATCACCAGCCTTTCATTGTTCCAAAGAATTTAAGCTTCAAATGAGGTTTTTAACTGTAAATCTTTTTGCAAATAAGAAAAAAAAGACACTAGAAAGATAGTATATTTTCTATACATTGATGAGTTGGTTTAAAAAAAAAAAAAGGGAGAGAGAGGGAGAAAAAGTCCATTAACTATTTGAATTCTGAGTGTGTTTGTGTGTGTGTTCATGTGTTCTGTTGGATCATGGTGCTTCACTGCAAGGCACCCAGATTTACGAACAGCAAAGAAAGAGGCTCTGGTGGTTTGAGCAGACAGAATGTCCTGGCCCTCTCTCTTTCACTGCGGAAAAATTGCCCGGCCAAACCAGCCAGGTCCCTGCACAGGGAAAGTCATTAAGCTTGCTCCCATGAGGGTGTCATCACTTATCATGCCAGCTCCTGATATCCTTCTGACCCCCTTAAGTCATTACGAGTCCTGGAAATGTACCGCCCCGCACCTCACCTCGACACACTGGTAGAGCGGCAGAGAGGAGGATTTTGATAACTATAGCTAGCCAGCCATGCGTGATGCTGATAATTTGATGAACGGATGGTTTTCCAGTTAGCCGTTTGATAAGAAGGTAATTACAATAATAATTTAAGCAGCGAGAACTCTATTTGTTGTTGTCAGTTAAAATGACGAAGAGCAAAAGTATAAGCTATTAGACGTGCTTCCGTTACTGCACTAATGCCAGCTTGTGTAGCAGCAGCGTGTGCTTGCATACTTTGGGTGGATGGTGCCACGTGCTGCTTTGGCCCGTCCGTCTGTGCATCATTAAGCTGACAGATACGGAGGGTGAAAAGTGAGAATCAAGGACAAAATGAAGCAGGTCGACCACACCGGAATCAAAGACTGCACTGCACTGTCGTGTCAGCTTGTATCAATAGTGCTAGACTACCTGCATACATATACTAGATCACACTGATACAGGATTTTTGAGCAAATACTAATATCCATGCCTTTGACTTAAAAAAACAAAAAAACAGAGATAGCTGGCAAGACCTGTCCTGTTTGGACTCTGGCTCAGGTAATAGAGCATTTCGTCTAACAGTCGTAAGGT